CTCAGATAGGAGGCATCACCACTAGATTAAATTATTAAGGCACCCTTAGAGAGACAAATTAAACTAACACGATCGATAGTTTTTACTAGCTTCAATACTTTAAACACACCGTACTGAATTCAATGAATAAATTCAAACGACAGAGCCACTGTGTATCATAGATTTTTTAAAACCCATTTTAACAACAATTCCAGGGGGGGAATGCACTTTAAGTTAAGGTTAGTTTTTTTACTCGCACTCACTAAGGTCCTGTAAACTAGACTGTCACTAACTATTCATCATACCCAGTTTAATTTTTTGAATATTTGAGAGCTGCTGCCACCTGTTGGAATATATGACAGTTGTATGAGTCACCTTATGCCAAGTTATGGTCCTGCCACCGAACCTATTAAGGGCCTAATAAACTTAACGTTACTTTGGGGTGGCAGGACTTCCTAAAAACTCAGTTAGAAATGAACTTGACGTGCTATGGATCACGTTCGTGCCACCACAATCGTCAGCTGCTACATGAGATCTTGTCACCGGAAATATTAAAGGGCAGTGCTCTAGGATTTGGTTTACTGCATGACAAACGTGCTACTTACTGTATAACAACATCGTCTAATACCCACTGTATTTGTCCCAGGATACTTATTAATTATTTACACATTCAACGCCTAGAAATTCTTTGAACGGCCGCCATGACACCCGCCGACCGTGCTGGCACCCGAAAGTTGCATCTAGAGCGTATTTGCAGTTTTTATTGCAGGAAATGGACCAAGGGCTATTAAATCACAAAAGTACAATTATATTTATACCTAATTGCTATTTTAACCGACACGATATTCATTTTAGGGCCAAATTTTTCCATATTATAACTGAAACTTATGTCGTTATAATGATATTACAATCCTGGTTTCTTTTAAATGAATAAATAAGAAATACCCTCGGGTCTGTAGCCCCTTGGGCTGGTAAGTGATTTTGCCAACTTCTCAGATCGGTGCGCGTTGAGTGGCGCCACCGTCGATTGTAATCAATAACTGTAATTCGTGTTAGTTTTTAAAACATTTTTTTTTAAATATTCTAATGGTGATTGAACCATGACTTTTTTATGTAGCGCAATTATAACCTAGAATTAGCTGAAAATAACCCTAGAACCTTTAGAGGCTATGTTCCTTTTATGTCTGATTAATGCGACAAATATGGCTGAGCGTTTAAATATCATAGATAACGAACAAAGATTACCATAGACGATGGAGTCAAGCTCACCATTTTGATGCTAATATTAGCACTATAAAGGGAAAAACCAGTAGGCACAAAGTCAAAATTGTACTGCTGCCGCTGCTTGCTGCCCTACACCAATGTGACTGGACTGCGGTACGGACTTCTGTTTTTCAAGCTGCGAGCTGGCGAAGACTGCGAAGCTGCAAGCTGCAAGCTGGCCTATCGGAAGAAAGCGTTTCGTGTGTTGTCTAAAATGCCTGAGTACATAAAAATATATTCTCTCTCTCTCGGCTCTCCTATGCAGCACACGCACGTTTTCTCTCTTCTCTTGTATTTTCTTAATTTTATGGCTAACACTTTGGATAAGTATAAATTATGACCGTAACTGCCTATATCTTACTAAATTTCAGCAGGTGAAACGAGAAGTTGTGGCAAGGCCTTGAGACTTATCACCCCTTCACCATGCCACGCCACTTACGAATGCGGCGTTGATGCGAAACGTCTTTTTGCGAGCAGCCAGATAATTCACTCTTTCTTGCTGAGTTAATTCGCCTCCGAGTTATAGTCTATGGTGCTCAGGAGGGCGCCCAGTCACGTATCAGGCAGGGGTGCGCCGCGAGCATCAGGCAGAGGCGTGCAACTAAGCATCAGGAGGGCGTTCACCGAGCGTCAGGCAGGGCGGCGCCATCTGAGCATCAGGCAGTGGCCGTCACAGAGCGTCAGGCAGGGGGCCGCCATCGGAGCGTCAGGCAAGGCGTTGCACTAAGCATCAGGCAGGGGCGTCACGAGCATCAGGCAGGTGGGAGCACGAGCTCAGGCAGGGCGCACGAGCATCAGCATGGGGGCGTCACCGAGCATCAGGCAGGGGCGCCACGAGCATCAGGCAGGGGCGCCACCGAGCATCAGGAGGGCGCCACCGAGCATCAGGCCAGGGGCGCCAGCTGAGCATCCAGGCAGGTCGGGCGCCACGGCAGTCAGCAGGGGCCGCCACGTAGCCTCATCGTGGTTTACAGCGTCGGCCCGGTCCGCCGTACCAGCATGCGACGACGTCGAGAGAAAGAGCGCCCACACGAGGGGGCGCTAAAGCGTCAGCTTGGGTTGACGTGGAGACCTCAGGTAGTCGGCAGAGCTTGCTTGACGAGAACGTTCGCTTCTGCTGCGCCTCCTCCTCTCGTTGCAAGATAGCAGTCGCGAATCGCGTCAGCGCAGTGAAAAAATACATGGGGGCTCGCGAGCGATTTAGCAGCCCCCCCGGAAATGCCAAAATAGCCCCCGTAAATTTGCATAGAGTTCAATTAGCAAACCAAATTTTTAGATTGCTATTTTCATGCACGCGGATGCTTGAAAAGTAGCCCCGAAAAAAAATATTATTTGTTTTCTGCTGGTCAGCGCAGACCACCATCGTATAGTGCGGTCACCTGTCCATAGAAGGTCGTAGTGGGTTACCCCGAGTATCGGTTGTGGAGGAACAGCGTGTATGCTTTATAGTTATTTATTTACCTGTCTATATTTCATCTCCTGCGCTTCATTGTAATTTCATCACTCTGCCTTTCATGTCATTCATCACTCTGCCTTCATGTCACTGTCATCACTCTGCCTTCATTGTCATTATCTCTCTGCCTTCATGTCATTCATCACTTCTGCCTTGCATGTCATTTATCTCTCTGCCTTCATTGATTCATTTCATCACTCTGCTTCATGTCCATTTCATCACTCTGCCTCATGTCATTCATCCTCGTGCCATGTTATGTCATTCATCACTCTGCCTTCATGTCATTCCTCTTGCCTGCATTCATGTCATTCATCTCTCTGCCTTCATGTATTCATCTCTCTGCCTTCAGTGTCATTCTATCACTCTGCATACGCATGTTCATCATCAACTCTGGCAGTTAATGTTTCATTCATCACTCTGCCTTTCATGTCATTCATCTCTCCTGCCTTCATTCATTCATCACTCTGCATCCGTGTCATTTCAGTCATCTGCATTGTATGTCATTCATCTCCTCTGCATTTCATGTCATTCCATCACTTGCATCCATGTCATTCATCACTCTGCCTTTCATGTCATTCGATCACTCTGCGCTCATGTCATCATCACTCTGCTTCATGTCATTGCATCACTCTCTAGCCTTCATGTCATTCATCACTTCTTGCCTTCATGTCGATTCATCACTCTGCCTTCATTCATTCATCACTCTGCCTTTCATGTCAATTCATTTCTCTGCCTTTTCTATGTCATTCATCTCTCTGCCTTATGTCATTCATCGTCTACTGGCCTTAATGTCAATTCAATCACTCTGCCTTCATGTCATTCGATCATTCTCTTGCATCATGTCATTCATCACTCGTGCCTTCATGTTCAGTTCATCATCTCTGCCTTTTTCATGTCAGTTCATCTCTCTCCCTTCATGTCCATTCATTCTCTGCTGTCCTTCATGTCATTCATCACTTCTGCCTTCAATGTCATTCATCTCTCGTGCCTTCATAGTCATTCATCACTCTGCTCTTCATTGTCATTCATCTCTCTGCATTCATGTCATTTCATGCTTCTCTGCCTGTCATGTCATTCATCACTCTGCGCTTCATGTCATTTCATCACTCTGCATTCATGTCATTCATTCACTCTGCCGTTCATGTCATTCATTCACTCGCCTCATGTCGATTCATTCACTCTGCCTTTCATGTCATTTCATCACTCTGCGCTTCTTGTCGATTCGATCATCTGCATTCATGTCATTCAATCACTCTGCCTTCATGTCATCATCACTCTGCCTTCATGTCATTCATCACTCTGCCTCATTGTCATTCATCTCTCTGCTTTATGTCATTTTCATCACTCTGCCTTCATGTCATCATCTCTCTTGCCTTCATTGGTCATTCATTCCTCTGCCTGTCATTTCATTCATCTCTCTGCCTTCATGCATTCATTCAGTCTGGCCTTCATGTCATTCATCTCTCTGCCTATTCATGTCATTTCATCACTCTGCCTTCATGTCATTTCATCACTCTGCCTTCATGTCATTCATCTCTCTGCTAATGTCATTCATCTCTCTGCGCTTCATGTCATTCATCTCTCTGCTTCATGTCATTTCATCTCTCTGCCTTCATGTCATCATCACTCTGCCTTCATGTCATTCATCTCTCTAGCCTTCATGTCTCATCACTCTGCCTTTCATGTCAATATCATTCTCTCTGCATTCATGTTCATTCATCTCTCTGCCTTACATTGTCAGTTCTATCACTTGCCTCATGTCATTTCATCACTCTGCATTTTCATGTCATTCAAATCACTCTGGCCCTTCATTGTCATTCATCACTCTGCCTTCATGTCATTTCATCACTCTAGCCTTTCATGTCATTATCACTCTGCCATCATGTCATTTCTCACTCTGCCTTCATGTCATTCTATCACTTCTGCCTTCATTTCATTCATCACTCTGCATTCATGTCATTCATCACTCTGCCTTCATGTCATTCATCACTCTGCCTTCATGTCATTCATCACTCTGCCTTCATGTCATTCATCACTCTGCCTTCATGTCATTCATCTCTCTGCCTTCATGTCATTCATCTCTCTGCCTTCATGTCATTCATCTCTCTGCATTCATGTCATTCATCTTCATGTCTATATCATTACTATGGAATGAAACACATGTTGAAACAACAGCGACCAGTTGTTGCTTTCGCAGGCAATTTTATTTATATTGGCGAGATAGGAGCTATAATCAGTATTACTGCTGCTGCTGCTGCTGCTGCATCATGCGTACGCGCGTGTGGGCGAGGTGTGAGCAGCTCACCTGTAATCCTGCAGTCTTGGCGTGAGTTAGCATGAGCTTGCTGTCCAGGGTGACGGCCGGCAGGTATTCACGCTTCTTCTCCCGCCACCACCAGTTCTTAGACGTGCTGCGCGAGAAATGCAGATGCCACCCCCAGTCAACACAACGTCAGACCACTACTCATCACACCACACAACCAAGGATTCAGCCGAGCCGCAAAGATATTTATGATATTGGGCAATGTCTATTATACAATAGGATAACATAGTTATCATTATAGATGCTAATAATAATTATTATAATTACGATATATATTATAAATTATTATAATATAATAGCAACATATACTACAATACTATAATGCTGATACTGATAGTACAATATATATATATATATTATTACACTTCATGCATGTAAATACTTGGCTAAAATACGTCACATGACCACCCTCAAGTAATACAGCTTCGCTCAGGTTGAACAAATCGGCGTCTCCCTCATATCACGCCAATAATTTTATCGTGTTACTACGTCACAACGCTCACCTTGTTCCTTTCTTAGCTGTCGTGTAATGATAGTGATACACTGAAGCTCTGATGTACTTTGGCGCCTTCTTGAATGGCTGTGGGCCCATTAGCTGTAAAACTAAAAAAGAAGTCGCCTTAGAAGTATGTATTATAATATCGACATCATCATAACTTATCGCTCCATTGCCCATAAGCAAGCAACTGAAATTTATGACCTGAAAGGCGCAATGGGCATTTTGACCCAAACTCCAGTGAAATAATAAATTTTGAGATTATTATATCACCTTAACACAAACGCTCTAGAAAAGAAACTACATTAGCAGCACAAATCCATGTAACATCCATCACACGTAAATCTATTCTACGAGTACGAGAGTTAAAATCTTCGAGTAGCACAGCAAGAATAATTAATGCATCTCTTGCTGAAATTTGTTTACGCGTGACACAGCGACACGACAAGTGGCAGTCTTTCTGTCGGTCGATGTATCGGTACTATTCGAGCAGCTTTTCCTGAGCTCACCATACGTTAACCGCAGAGAACCGCTCTGGGACGGTACACCACACGGAGACGTATTGATAGTTACCGGTGGGTTCTCCCTCCAGCAGGCGCTGGACGAGGCTGAGGAACCAGGGATTGCGCTCGTGATGTCCCAGTGCCGCAAACCACATCTGCCAGTCGAGCCTCGGCTGGTGAGGAACTGTAACGAGAACGCAAGCGCGTGACTCATCACGACGAAGCCGCATGCAACGCTGCCGTGGTCAAACGCGACACGCGCATGAAGAAATCGATCGACTTAATTGCAACGCAGCGAGAGATGCGTCGATGGTTATTGCGGCGATCTATCGCAACATTGCCGCGCAATCTGATCTGCGCAGAGAAACCGACAAACTTACAAGGTAACGAGGGGGGCGGTGAAATATTTTGCGACGAACCATTACAACTTGGCCACGCGTGCGACTGAATTCGCGGCGTGCGCGCGCGATCGCAGTAATTGAACGACTTACAGACGACGGGAGGGGCGGTGGATATGTTTCCGGGTTTGTACAGGAAGGAGTACTCCTTCCATCCCCTCTCCAGGTTATTGCTGGCCTCTAGGATCAGCTCCGGGCGGCCACCAACGCCCGTCATCCTGTAATAGAACACGCGCGTTACCGTCAGGAACCCTGGATGCTTCCACCAGTATCGCAGCGCTCTCTCATCAACGAGATGGGGACGAGTTACAGACTTATAAATATTATTATTATTATTAGTAGTAGTAGTAGTAGTAGTAGTAAGCTTAACAATTCGACAAGAAATAAACAAAGACCGTGAATGTTGGGCAGTGAAGGGTGTGATTGAAGGATTGGAGGGGATGTCAGTGTGTTGTGCCCCGACACGGATACCCAGTCTGTCCGTACCTTCTGAACAATCCGTAGGACGAGGTCAGTGTGAACGGTCGCTGCTTACCATACAGGTACATGACCGGCTGCGGAAGCCGCTTCTGCACAGCGTCATCTAGTGTCGTCAGCGACACCTACAAGTGACGCGTATTCGAATAATATAGACGTGTAGATTGGTTACAGTTCTGGGACGTTTCAGTAGAACAGAAAAAGTGAGATAATCGGACACACAATTGTTACAATAACTTCATTATTGTAATTAATACGATATTGTTAAATTATTTGCATTTGTAAAAATCCACTTCTAATAGAATCTCAGACCGACTGAATGCGATTCTAATTCACGCCACAAGCATAGCGGCAAACCGTTTGCCAAACAACAATCAATTACTACCCGTTAATTATCGCGCGATCTTAATCGATGCTAATCGTCTAACCAAGCTTATGGAGAACATGGAGAAGGCCGCTGCGGAGAAGACGATGGTGCCGAGGAGAGCCCACAGCCTCCGCATCAGCTTCCTCTCGTACTTCAGCGACCTGCGGGTAGACGGAGACGACAAGGCGGTCAATGAACGACGACGTACGACGTCATCGCGTACGATACACCCGAGAGACGAGGGTCGATGAGTTTAAAACAGCACCCAAGTGACATCGAGGGTTGCTTGGGGAGGACGTATAATTGTTACTGATGAAGCAACATGTAAGCACAACATTGACATCCGAAAAATTGCTCTCTTAAAAAGAATTAGGATAAATGAATAAATAAACAATATGTATATAAATATATATATATATACTCGTAGAGAGAGGGGGGGGGAAAAAAGAAATAGCAATAGCAATAGAGAGTTATGGTAGTATTAATTTACAGTACACTAATATCGATAACAGAGCGGAGATAGCATGCTGTCTCATGAAGGTTGGTGACTGCATAGTGACGCTTACTTGACGATGGTGTCGCAGACTTCCAGCGAGAGAGACGCGGCTCCCATGATGATCGACAACGGCAGCACCTGCCTCACGAACCAGTCCAGCTGCTGCGGCGTGAACACTGCGCGCGAGAGACACATAGAGGGCGCTGAACGCACGCAGGTAAATGCAAACATCGCGCGAGAACGCGCGTGTCACGCCCACGCCACGCGGCGAACATTGCGTGCGAACGTCCACAGCACAGACACACCACACACAGTGGCAACGTCACGGGTTAATCCTGCTCGCCCTTCCCTCCCTCTTATCCTGTCCACTTCTCTTCTTCTTCCTCCCCCCCCCCTACTTCCCTCCTCCCCCTTCCTCCCCCACCTCTCACGCAGGCACTCACCGACTTTCGAGTCGACCTTCCAGCGGGTTGTGTCGAGGCTGAGTGAGAACAGCTTGTGAGCGTAGAAGAGGAGAGATCCGGCAAACGCAGCCTCCAGCATGAGAGCAACGAGCTCGCGCAGGGATGCGGGCACGAAGCGCACCATCTCGTAACCTAGACGACGAACAGACCGATGCGCGGCATCCGCGCGGTGAGAGAAGCAACGGGCGGGACGGGGGGTCGCGAAACTGTAACCGCGTGGAAGTGCGACGATAACGCTGCATACTTCTCGTTTTCGGCGAAGAGTTTAACTGTAGTGTTTGCCTGTTTGGTGTTGGCCGGCTTTATTACCTGTATTATGTGCCCTGTAAAGATTGATTAGTGTTTACCTGTGCTATATACCTGTAAGGACTGACTGGTGATTACCTGTGTTGTTTACCCAGGTATTGATTAAGCAGTGACTACCTGTGTTGTTTACCTGTAGGGATTAAGCAGTGACTACCTATGTTGTTTACCTGTATTGATTAAGCAGTGACTACCTGTGTTGTTTACCTGTAGTGATTGATCAGTGATTACCTGTGTTGTTTACCTGTAGTGATTGATCAGTGATTACCTGTGTTGTTTACCTGTAGTTATTGATCAGTGATTACCTGTGTTGTTGTACCCTTGTAAAGTTTTATTTTGAACATCCCCACACCAGAGTGAATTACCTTAGTTTAGCTTGATCAGTGATTACGACATGAGATTATTGATCAGCAGCTGATACCGTGTAGTGGATTAAGCAGTGACTACTGTGTTGTTTACCTGTAGTGATTAGTGACGATTACCTGTAGGTCCACGACCGTGAAGAAGAAGTCTTCTAGAGAGGTTACGCATGGAGAACGATCGTGAGCAGATTGAAGAAGTTATAGTTGCCTGTGAGTAGATTCCCACCATGAGGAAACCTGTAACACACACACACAACACAGTATGACATATGTATGACATCACGTACACCGCGACCATGCAACGACACCTCGACATCCACACATCAGATGGACTCACGCCTACGCCGTGACATCACACACACAGATGACATACACACGACAGGACATCTCAGGCACACAGAGGAATACATCACACAGATTGACATCAACGTACTCTGGCGCACCCCGCCTTGACATCACAGACACCTGAACATCGTCAACCCAGATCGACATCACGTACATACGCGACATCACACACACAGATGACATCACACACACAGACATCTCACACACAGATGACATCACACACACAGATGACATCACGTACACGCTGACATCACACACACAGATGACATCACGTACACGCTGACATCAGCACAGCACAGATGACGATCAGCCGACACACAGATTGACATCAGCACGCGCAGCAGCAACAGAGTGACATCGACCGTACACGCTACGACATCACACACACAGATGCATCTCACACAGCCAGGATGACATCACACACGATCAGGGGGCCGGTTGATGACATCACACACGCTGACATCACACACACACACGGACAGCTTAGAACCTGCTCAGCATGTAGAACACAGAGAGACTGTGGGGTGTGAGACGACCGCATCTGTTACGGAGATGACCAGTATGAGAAACATCAGTTACCAGTACTGCATAGTACGCACAGCTGCAATCATGAATTACAGCTTGGATCATGACCCATTGAAGTTTAAATACATGACGCCCGCGGCACTAACAGCACTACCACACGGCACACCGCCACTACGCACAATGAGCTACGCCCGAGTGCCCAGCAAGCAGCTCGTATATACAAACACCACGCGGCACCATTGCAACGCACACACGGCACACGCACACATTCACCCACACACATCGCGCACGACACACCGGATGCAGTGTACACAAGCCGCGTCCCACAACACTCCGTAATACACCAAACACCTGCGGACGGTGAAGCACGCAACAGCATGCACATCACGCCACGGCACGCGCAAAGAAAAATGCACACAGGGGAGCCAGGCGGGCGGCACGACACACCCAACCAACACACCTACGGCGGTGCCGGCCGGGTGCAGATAGACGAGCATGTACACATGCGCCCACAAACACTGGGCGGCTAGCGCAGTGTGGGGGAGCCGCATGCGTATACACCAAGACACCGGCGCCGAACGGGAAGGCCGGTCGGAGGGACGTGCAGCGCACAGCATGCACACACACACCACACGACGGCTCACCAACGGAGACAACAACACACTGGGCCGGCAGCGACGCGCACCACACAACGGTATAGATGGTACACCGGGACCGCCCGCCACCACTCCACAAACAGCTCGTAGATACGCACAAACAGGAGTCGGGGGACCCGGCACACGCAACGCACGCATGCCACACCCGCACGCACACACGCCGAACCCACGACACCCCACGGCAAGGGCCGGCGGAGCGCGACGTACCAACAGCCGGGGGGGCGTCCCCTCGGGAGGGCACGATGCATGTACACATGCGCCCCCACAAACACTCGCTATACACAAACAGCACGGTGCACGCATGCCGCACGCAGGACGCACTCACGCCGCCACGACTACACACACGGCCACCACACCACAGTGTGCGATGTTCACATTTGGTACCACACCGCCCCGACAAACAGCGCGTATACCACAACTACCCGAGCGAGCACCATACACGCACGCTACACACGCATGCAGACACAGCACACGGTAAACAGCGGCTCCGGCCCGCGGCCCGAACCAGGTCGTGGCCGGGGCGCGAGCCGCCCCCCGCGATCCAGAGCGAGGCTGCGGCCGAATCGGGATCAAGTGGAAAAAGATTAATTTTTCTTTACCGGGGCTCTTTTTGCAAACCCCCACAAACTTTCGGCGGCTACCTGTTTCATTGTCGCAGGGCCTTTTTGCGCACTTTCCAGGGGCGCGACTTAATTTCGCAGAGGGGCTGGTTGTGCCTGCGAAATGTAGGAGGCGGCCAAGAGCACAGTAATGCTAATACCGGTTGCTAATACACACTCGCCGGGGGGCCGCGCGCCACGGGGGGACGACGCACACACCGGTCACAGGGCCCACCGACGCCCGAACGCGGCACGCGCACCGCACCGCGGGCACGCGCTACACGAGGATCGGTGGCGTCTCGGGCGCCGGCGGTGCTGCCGGCGCAGCACACAGACGCGGCCACAGCACATGCTGGCGCTTTTTTTTTTTTGACGCGCACACCACTGCCTGCCAGCACAACAGTCGAATATTCAACGACAGTTATGTCATCAGACTGACAGACTACATGAATCACAACTCACAAGTCACAACGCCACAAATTGCACCATCTGAATAGTGAATAGCATCACAGTTCCGCTACCACAGAACTATTACGGCAGCTCAAAATATGTGAAGTGGGTGCTGTACGAGCGAGGGAGGATCGGATTGTTTAAGGACGGCCAAAAGTCTCTTGCGGGCTCCCGGGGTCCAAGCCCGCGTAAGCGCTGGCAGCTCAGGGGTTTGAGAAAGCGGCCGCGCGAGCCCACGTGTTGAAGTGGCTGTGCACATGCGACGCTTGCGTACGTGCCTGCTGGGCAGGGGCGGCAATTGATTGAAGGTCCTGGGGGAGGGGGCACAAGTTGTCTTCAGCGTGTATCTAATGCCACTACTAAAATGTAGAGGCTTGGCATTGCTGGACTTTGAGAGAGGCGCCAGGCGAAAACTTCTTTCGGGGAATTGACCCAAAAAAAAAAAAAAGCTACGTCATCAGGGAATAACACACGAGGCCCACAGCCCGCCAGGGAACAACTATACGTGTGACTTTCATTAGGTATGTTTCGGCATGGATTATTCGTTCTATAATGCCTAGCGGTGCGTGGTGCCTCGGGTCTAAGTAGGCACGCCGCAGGCGAGCGCTGCCACGCACGCGCACACATGCACCACGCCGGGGCAGGCCGACAGAAAGCACGCAAGCACGCCGGCCCGGCACGCACAAGCCGCACACACAGGCGGCACACGCAACGCAGCCGGGCGACGCACGCACCACCGGCAAAGCACGCCCGCAGGCTACATGGCTACGGCGGCAACGCACGCACAGAGCGCGCAGGCACACGTAAGCACCGCACAGGCACACAGCGTATATAATAGCGGCGCGGGCGGCGGCGCGCGCATGGGTTGGGATTGGAATGCAAATAGCAGTAGCAGTATCACACATGCATGCTTACATGAGTGAAAAACATTGCACACGCTCACACCGGTATCCAGAAATTCTAGCCGCAGAGGTCCGTGGAACCCGGCTGCCGCTACACGCGGCAGAGGCCGAGCGGCATCGGCAACCGCGCCGGAGAGCGACAGAGCCTGGACAATTCGGATTTCCAGGGGCGAGACTTTTGCTTTGGGGGTCGCGCCCGCGCCCCCGAGTATCGATGTTTCGGGGGCTCTGTCTTTTCTGCGCAGTTGTTCGCTGCCGCGTGGCTCGGAAACCTCGCGGCCGCCGCCCGCCGTCGGCGGACCGGTGGTATTGTGGATTCGCTTCGCGCATGGGCTTGGGCGGACGTGCAGGCAGTGGATGGGCACACACACACACAATTGCCACCACCGTGAAATGCCAGGGTTGCGCCCACCTGAGACCGGAAGAACTGGCGAAGCAGATCGGGCAGTCTGCGGTTGACTCGGGCAGAAGAACAGGAACGGCCCGGGACTCGATCACTGGTACACGATGACCGTCGACAGGCTTCTGAAGCCATTCGGAGGCGAATAGCTGTGTGGCGTGACCCGCACGCTATATAGCGGCGGCGTCGTGATGGCGACTGAGACTCGTAGCTGATATTCCATCGCTGGCAGCAGTAGAGTCAACGGTCATACGAGAGGTCTCTACGAGACGTCTATACAATCTATACGTCTAGATCGATACGTCTATCCGAGACGAAGGTCTTAATACGATCGATACGAAGGTAATACGATGCTAACTATCGTCTATACATAGCGTCCTATACGAGACAAGGTCTAGAGCACACGACACGTGCCAGCGTCATTTTGCACTGTCATTAATCAGAATACCACGTGTATACATAAGGTGGTCGCTGATCAAAATTGTTCGTCCTTAAAATACCATGCGTGCCGTTCAACCAAAGGCCGGTTACAGCGAAAGCTGCCTATAGATGTGGTCATCGACGGGGATTGCGTAGTGAGCAGTGCTGTGCCACTTACAGGATATTACAGGGATTGGACAAGATATTAATAACTATCTGTCGGCATAAAAAAAGTATCAAATTTGCTAAAAAAAATATTCAAAAAGTATGAATTCGGTATCAACACTTGTCAACCGCACCATGATTTGAGTCCTTTTTACCTTATATGGCACTGGTAGCGGAATACATTATAGGCGCTTATATGTGCAGCAATACAACACAAGCTTCAGGAATGATGTGTGCGAATGGCCGATGAAGGAGTTGTCTCTTGTAATCCTCAGTCTGGAGAATCATGTTCCAATGCAGTGTTTTCCCGCTGTCCAGAAAGCTTGTGTGAGGTGGTAAGATAGCGGTTTGTGAGAGTGACGGGAGCTAATCAGCAGGGTGGCCTAATGGAGAGGGCAAGAATGGTTTGCAGAGAGTGATGTTCGCTGGGAGCAGAAGTGGAAGGGCAAGTCGGGCGAGGTGGCTGGGACCTAGGAGGCGCTACGGGGGGTCAAGCTGATGACGGCAGTGTGTTGCGGGGAGTCCACGGGGATGCCATGAGCTCCGGTTTCGGAAATATGTGGTGAGAGAGAGGACTGGGTGACATTAGATTGGTCGCGCAACTTCTAAGACAGCGTTTCTGAAACAAGCAGTGTGCGTAAAGGGGAAGAGCATATTAGAAGTGCGAGAGCGCATTGTTGCGGAGGTAATGATGTTTACGGAAGAGTTTGTGGGAATGTTGGCGAGGCGGGCACGGCGCAGGGGTGGGGTTGTGTATGGAAGGCGACACCCACTCACGCCGAGGGCTGGGAGATGAGATGGGTGAGACGGTCGGAGACCGCTGGCCTCGGGAGTAGTGTCAAGGGACAGTGACGGGGGGGGGCGTAATAAATGATGACATGCAGCGTCTGGAAACATAGCGAGAGAGCTGAGATGAGATGCGAAAACCTGCGCGAGGAGCTATGCAGCAATAAGTATCCGCTTCGGCGCGCAAACGAAGAACGTAGCAACGCGAGTGCGCGCATGGGATGAGATCTATTGCTAGGATCTCATCAGAGTCCCAGGTGGAAGCCGTAAATGTATGCTCGGCGTGAAAGAGTTGTTGGAAGCTATCGTTTGGCAAAAAAAACATATTGTATATGCATATTGTAGGTGGCAGAGAGTGAGAGGTGGAGAATGAAAAGAGGTTAGCGATTTTCGTGATGAAGCTACGCAAAAGTATAATATACTAAAACAAAGTATCAAGGGGGGAGGTGCACAGCAACTGTGCTGGAGAGTGTCGCGGCAGATAGATTAGTGTGGTATATTAGGTGAACGAGGAAATACTAAGTGTAGGTCGACAGTATGAGGGGCGGGCCCCAAGTGCCAAGAACACTATTAGACAGCCGGTATCTGTTCTGTAGACTGGGTAGAGTGTCTACTAACATAGGTTTGAGCTGCACACCTGATAACTTGTCGGCACTAGCGCTCTAACGAGAAGTAGTGAATCACTCCTCCACACAGCACGCTGGGCACAGATTCTACCCAGGCTTAAGATAAAATATTGCTTGTTTGCGCCCCTTTACCGACCGAGCTGCTAGCCAAAACTCGACAGCAGGTGGATTGTGGGATGTGGGGCGTCAGTGCGCATGTAAAACAAAAACAGAAATTATTTTCGGTTGCGGCAAAACAAAAAAAACGTTCACATATACACGTAGCACACATCTTGGTCAAAAAAAAATAAAAGATTTTCACCTAACCTACCCTAACTGCGGTGCCCATGAGGGGTGAGTAGGTATAAGGGGAAACAGACAATTTTTAAGGGTGGCCTCATGCATGAACATCGTGATATTAGAGTCTTGTGGCGCCGCACCACAATTAAAGTGATTACTCACCGTAAATTAATTTAAAAATAAATTCCAACTTTTTCACAAAAAAATAAGTAATTCTGTTTCACTTTTTATGTTAAATTGCTGCATTATAACTTCTTATTTTACTATATTGTTCGTATGTGTGAACTTACACTCGTGACTCATAACATAGCCTATAGCAAGGCGCCAAGTTAATTTAGCAACCTAAGATCAAGATCGTGCGCAGGTTTTTTGCTGGAGTTTTTAACGTGGAATGAGATAAAGCAGAATATGCTGTTGTGATTACCAGACCGTATATAGGCGACAGTTGTGAGGGTATGAGGTGCTAGTTCCATTAGTGTTGCTCGGACGTGTATTTAATGTGTATGGAAAAAATGGCAAGAAAAATTTGAGTCAAGATTTGTAGCCAGTATGAAAATGTCGTGGGCACGACGTAGTCAATTTAACGACACCTGTACGTCACTGCGCAAATCGCACTCACCTGTGAGTCCCCACCAGGTGGGGCACTGACTCTGCAGCTTCACGACGCCCGAGGCAAACATGAGGCGGAACAGCAGCCAGCGGACGAGCCACAGCGTGATGTTGTCGTGGTAACGCGACCGCGTCGCCCAGCGACCGAACTTGACGAGGTTGAACGGCGCGACAAGGATCGTAATGAAGCCTGCCTCTAGCAGAAGAATGTCCCTGCACACGCAAGACGACGACGAACTCGTGGTTAAGTGAGAGAAGAAAACCGGTAGAAGTAGATTGGCATTTATAATTTAGACTTCACGAATCGGCATACGAAATCTTTGTGATTCAGCGATATGCATACACCCAACACGATCTAAACGTCGACAGGATAGCTTGCTGTAAATGCGACAGAACTGCACAAGCGAAGAGCTTACCATTGAAACCACATGAATGTTTGTCCAACCTACAAAAAATGCGAACATAATTTTAATTGTGATGGCAAGTAGGCAAGTGGTAGTAAATTCAAATGACCAAACAGGCAGCACACGTGCCCGACTCTAAGATACAATACGAAAGTCGTACGCAAGCAAACAAACGCCCTGCGCCACCTTCGCGAGAAGTACTCAACGAAACTGTGTCTAAAGAAGCAACGTAAGAGTTTGTCTACGTGTTAGAGAGGATGGCATGATTCTAAAACCTGACATCGTAGCACAAGAAATAGAAATGAGAGTTTAGAAACCACATAGAGGACTGCTCAGAGTTCTGGAACGCCACCCGACACCACAAGAAATACAATCGAGATACTAGAATCTATGCAGAGAGGACTTATTCCTCACACACACATGCACGCACGCACGCACACACACACGCACGCACGCACGCACGCACGCACGCACGCACGCACGCACACGCACACAAACACACACACACACGTACCTGGTAGCAGGAGAAGTACAGCCCCCACAGCAGCAGGAACGAGTCAGCGCTCCTCATGGCCTTCGATACGGACCAGCCGACGGAGAGCGATGACGATGCGCACAATGCCAGCAGGCTCCATGCTGTCAACCTCATCCTAGCCCCGCCATCGGCAGCAACCACAGCAACGTCGGCTTCTGTCGGCAGCATGTTGTCTGAACGCGAGACGTCGTCGTGCAGAGGTGGTCGCGACACGCAGGTGAGGACGCCGCGCACGAGGCGCCGAGACGAGAGGCGAGACGCCGCGACGAGAGGCGAGACGCGCCGACGCGAGGGCGAGACGCCGCGACGAGAGGCAGACGCGCCGCACGAGAGGTGAGACGCCGCGACGGAGAGGTGAGACGTTCGCGACGAGAGTGAAGACGTGGACGCGCAAGAGGCGAGAACGCCGCGACGCGAGGCGAGACCGCCGCCGCACGAGAGGCGTAGACGCCGCGCACGAGAGGCTGAGACGTCGGCGACCGAGAGCGTGAGACGCGTGCGACGAGCGAGGTTGTGCGGCCCATTGTGTGCAATGTTGCGCGGAAGAGGCCAGCAAAGCAAACTGGCACGACGTCATGCCAAGCTTGCATGTTACGTCTCCAACGTTGCATGACGCGGTCAAGTCCAACGTTGCCATGACGTCACTCCAACGTCTGCAAGATGCAGAGCACATATGCAAGGTGCCGACACAGCGTGAGTATGTACGCCGAGAGATTTTAGCGCGCAAAATTTGTGAGCTTGAATGGACCTCCAGCTAATAACGATCAGAGCGAGGATTTGCGTTATCTAACTCGTGTTTCGATGATAGGAGGCCATGCTTGAGGAAAACTTTCACAAGGAAATTACTGGACTACGTGTTCAGTATCGACGCGCCCTGCACGCCATAGACCGATTTCATATTGCAGGCTGCGAGCGAGCGCGAG